TGCAAAGAAAAACTGCAACATGTTTTACAGTGGCAGGTAAGATTAAAGGGCAAAAACAAACATTAAAAGCTTAGAAAAAGAGCATTTAACAACTAGCAAGAAAGTGGTTGTTTATTCTGATATTCCACATCTGCCATAAGTTATTACCAATCACTGTATGAATTTTATATTCCTTTTAATGGAATTTTAGGAATATATTAAAGGAATTTACATTAAAGGAATATATATTATATATATTTGATATAAAATATCATAATAAAAATATTTAATATAAATATTTATATTTATATTAAAGGAATATATAAAATATTCCTTTTAATGGAATATAAAATTCAGAAGAGGTCCAAAAATTGAAAATTAATCTTTCTAGAATGCATTTTTTTTCTTTTTCATAAATTGTATTGTATATATGTAAATACACAATATGATGTTATGAGAGACATATAGACAGCAAAAAGCCTCTATAGTGAAGCAAATTAACAAACTCATCATCTCACTTAGTTACTCATTTTTTGGTTTTTGTTTTTGTGGCAAGAGAAGCAAAATCTACGCATTTCGCACAAATCCCAAATCCCACATGCATTACAATTTTATTACTTACCGTCCTCATAGTGTACTTTAGATCTCTAGACTTGTTCCTCCTACATATCTGCTACTTTGTATCCTCTCATCTACATCTCCCATTTCCTCCCCCAGCCACTCCTGCTAACCAACATTTTGTTCTCTATATCTGTATATTTGAAAATTTGTAGCAAAAATGGTATCAGAAGAACCAAGTTGGAGGACTGACACTACCCAACTTCAAGACTTACAGTAAAGCTACAGTAATGAAGACAGTGTGGTATTGGTGAAAGAACAGACAAATGGATCAACAGGTGAAATCAGCCAGACACAGAAAAAAATATATCGCATTATTCAAAATCCATTTTTTGATCAAAAGGAAAAAAATTATAGACAGGATAAATTGTTAGCAGTGACTACCGATGGACTGAATATATATTTTGAAAATATGATATCACTTGTTTTGTTATACATAAGAATTTTAAATAAATATTCTGTGTTTCCGTCCAGGTGCTGTGGCTCACATTTGTAATCCCAGCACTTTGGGAGGTGGAGGTGGGTGGATCACTTGAGGTCAGGAGTTCGAGACCAGCCTGACCAACATGGTGAAACCCCATCTCTACTAAAAATACAAAAATTAGCCGGGCCTGGTGGCACACACTTGTGATTCCAGCTACTTAGGAGGCTGAGGTATGAGAATCACTTGAACCCATGAGGCAGAGGTTGCAGTGAGCTGAGATCATGCCACTGCACCCCAGCTTGGGTGACAAAGTGAGACTCTGTCTCAAAAACACAAACAAACAAAAATTATGTGTTTCTGAAATTATTCCAAAATTTCTTCTGTTTCTATCAACCTACCACTGTGAGACTGATTTCTCTACTAGGGGTATTGTTAAAACAAAACATAGAAACAGTTTAAAAATGCATTATCCTCTGCAAGTAGCATGGCCATCAATCCAAGTTAGATTAAACAAATTAATAAGCAAGAAGCAAGTTTATTTAAATAGTGGAAATTTACACAGTAATGTACACAATGTTTATTCCAAGTGTGTATTATGGACTTTTAATGCAGGGAATCATTGTTTCCTTGGTAATTTTTGTTTAGCTACAATTTTGGAAGAGCCAAAAGCTATGTGTAATAGTGATTATAATAGTTGTGGACCGTTGTCAGATTTGTAATGTTTTTCTGTTTTCCCATGTTGAGGTTACATTTATTAAAACAATTTTATGCCTACAGATTCTCATGGAAATGCTGGGCTTGAATTGTTGTTTATTTTATTTTCCTAGTTGTTTATTTTTATTGTATTTTACAAATGTGTTGGTCCACAATAAATTGAAATTTTTAATGGAAAAAATGGCCTTTCTCCACAGACAGTTTGTAAAGCATTCAGTTTTACGAGCATTTTCCTAAGCTAGGGATACAAAAGAGATTATAAAATGGTGCTGTAACTCCTGCCCTTAGAAGTTAGAGCATGTTTGAAGAAATCACAAATCAGAATACAACATGGAAGAATCACACTGTTAATGGCACTAACCACATGATTATAGAAGAGAACAGTGCAGAAGTCTTACCAAGATTTATAGCTTGAGGTGGGTCTGAAAGGCCAACAGGAGAAGGAAGGGGATTCTAGGTTTAAAAGACATTTTTTTTTTTTTTTTTTTTTTTTTTTTTAAGAGGGAGTCTTGCTCTGTCACCCAGGCTGGAGTGCTGTAGTGCAATCTCGGCTCACTCTAACATCCGCCTCCCAGATTCCAGTGATTCTCCTGCCTCAGCCTCCCAAGTAGCTGGGATTACAGGCGTGTGCCACCACGATCAGCTAATTTTTGTATGTTAGTAGAGACAGGGTTTCACCATGTTGGCCAGGCTGGTCTCCAATTCCTGACCTCAAGTGATCCACCTGCCTTGGCCTCCCGAAGTGCTGGGATTACAGACCTGAGTCACTGTGCCTGGCCTGACATGATTTATTTTCAACTTTCTCTTCCTGCTGCCTGGATAACATTATTAAGGTTAATCATGTTATACCTTTCCAGACAGTAATCATAATTCTGTGGGCTTTCAAAAACAATGCTGAGTTCTTTCTCCTTCAATTACCTTCAAGCCTTTCAGCAATATTATTGCCTGAAAATGTCATTTTCTTTTGTTTTTTTTTTTGTTTGTTTTTTTGTTTTTTTTGAGACAGAGTCTCGCTCTGTCACCCAGGCTGGAGTGCAGTGGCCAGATCTCAGCTCACTACAAGCTCTGCCTCCCGGGTTTACACCATTCTCCTGCCTCAGCCTCCTGAGTAGCTGGGACTACAGGTGCCCGCCACCTCGCCCGGCTAGTTTTTTGTATTTTTAGTAGAGACGGGGTTTCACCGGGTTAGCCAGGATGGTCTCGATCTCCTGACCTCGTGATCCGCCCGTCTCGGCCTCCCAAAGTGCTAGGATTACAGGCTTGAGCCACCGCGCCCGGCCACGAAAACGTCATTTTCTTAAGTTCATAACATTAATAAATCTTCAGCATCTTTTTTCTATTTTAGAAAAATATATAAAAATGTAAACCCACAAGAGAAAGAAAACCCTCAATAATACACAAAAAAAGAAAGAAAAAAGAATCTGCAATCATGCCACTAACTCTTTTAACATATATTTAATGAACCATGTGTGAGACACTGCCATACATGGAGTTGGAGGTGGGGATAGATATCAGCCCCTGCCCCAAGGATCTCTGGTCTCAAGGTACTCATTTGTACCTGAGATAAACATAAAATAAGTAACTGGAATGTGATAGGACACTTCCAAAAAATAAAATAGCATGCCACTATTAAGAATTACAATAAATAGTCCAGGCGTGGTGGCTCACACCTGTAATCCCAGCACTTTGGGAGGCCGAGGTGGGCAGATCACGAGGTCAGGAGACCAAGACAATCCTGGCTAACATGGTGAAACCCCATCCCTACTAAAAATACAAAAATTAGCCCAACGTGGTGACACATGCCCGTAGTTGCAGCTACTCGGCAGGCTAAGGCAGGAGAATTGCTTGAACCTGGGAGGCAGAGATTGCAGTGAGCCGAGATCGCACCACTGCACTCCAGCCTGGGCGACAGAGCGAGACTCCATCTCCAAAAAAAAAAAAAAAGAATTACAATAAATATGTTTATTGACATGAAAAGCTATTTATAGGACATTAAGTTAAAAAGCAAGTTATAAAGTACACATACATTATTATCCTAACTTGATTTTACTAAATTACATATGTATAAAATACATATATGTGCCTACGAAAGTTTGCAAATCAAAATGCAAATGCTATCATCAATTATGTCTGCATGGTGAGATTAAGTGCTTTTTCTCTCCTTTTTTTATTATCTGCATTTTCCAATTTTGTCCATCTAATTTAAAAGGCATTAAAATGCAGTATGATATTGTAATGATTAAGTATCAGAAAGCTGGAGAAAGTAAATACTAAAGTGTTTGGGAGGGTCAGAATAGACTTCCCGGTAAAAATTAGAGGAAGAAGTGAAAGCACAACGTATTCCAAACATTACAATTGCATCTACATCACTTAAGGTGAAGGAGAAACAACCATAAAAGGACTTTGGAACTACATAAAGATACGAGACAAATTGGTTTGAAGCATGGAAGTAAAAGCTGCCTATAAAATCCAGGTAAATACCTGATACTGGCACACAGGTTGGAGCAGAGAAAGAGGAAACCGAGGTGCCAAAGGAACAAGTAAGTCCATTGAAACGTCCTTGCTTCTCTCTCCTCCAAATCAATGGGCACAAAGTGGGGCTGGTCTACCTGTGTGGGTTCTATTCTCTAGATTGGAGGGATGAAGACAAGTTCTTGACTCTATGTTGAGGCCAGTTGAAAAATGAGGGAAAATAAAACCATGAATGAAACAAGAAAGAAACGAAACAGAAGAAGAATGAAAAAGTAAGTTGGTTGCTATAAAAGAGATAAAACGGACTCCAAAAAGAAAAAAAAAGGCTAATGCTGGCCGGGCATGGTGGCTCACACCTGTAATCCCAACACTTTGGGAGGCCGAGGCAGGAGGATCACCTGAGGTCAGGAGTTCAAGACCAGCCTGGCCAACATGGTGAAACCCATCTCCACTAAAAATACAAAAATTAGCTGGGCGTAGTGGCAGGCGCCTGTAATCCCAGCTACTCAGGAGGCTGAGACAGAATCACATGAACCTGGGAGGCAGAAGTTGCAGTGAGCTGAGATCGCTCCATTACACTCCAGTCTGGGTGACAAGAGTGAAACTCTGTCCAAAACAAACAAACAAACAAACAAATAAATAAATAATGCCAAGAAAGGTGAATAGTGAATAGTAGGTTTAACTGTATGCCATTCCATGAACATAGACCAAAAAGGACGAGGCCATGCCCCACTGGGTGCTTCATGATTATGTGGCTACCACAGGACAACACAGAACACAGAAGAAATACTGGAGCCCTTGGTTTTGTAACACACTTTAATTAAGGTGCTTCTTTCTGACAAGAAAACAATTAAAATTAAAATAGGTGGGGAAAAAACATCCATTTTCACCAGGTCAGCATTTTGGGAAAGGTGATAAAAGTGTATATCTGTGGATGTACTGGGTGATTTTGCGGAAATGATTCAGTTTCATATTTTGCTTTATGCTATAAAGTACTCTTGAAAATAATCATCTTCACTCTGTCAAAAGTGAAGTTAGCATGAAAATGAGGTAGAAAGAAACTATGAAAAAGTAAAATTTTTCCCATTTTATTTGAAATAATATAATCACAGAGCAAATTGGTGAGGTTTTCTCTAATTGCTTTAGTCTTATACTTTTGATCTCATCAGAGTTCCAATATTTTTATGTGTTCCTTGTTCTTAAAAATTGCAGTTGTTCTAATTTTTATTTTAAAAAAAGGACAAAGGGTGGTAAATATTTTATTACTTGTCAAGAGAACAATCCTACTAAGACAATAGGTGGAATCTATAAAAGGAGTCTATTTATTAGTTTCCCTTCTCATGTATCATTTACAGAATTGTCTTCATTTCAATTGAATAATTCAAGAATCAGAACTGGCTGGCTCTGTCTTTAATTCTTTTCATAAAACCAGAACTTGACCCAGTAAAAATGTATTCTGAGACTAGTCCTAATAAGTATAGGCCTAGCCATGATAATCTGGGTTCTATATGAAACTTATAGATCTTAGTCCAGAAACTAAATAGCAGATATGAAAGGAGAAACTGTGGATAAACAAATGAAAAGTATTGAGTTTTCCTCATAAAATTTCTCAAGACAAAAAAAGCAATGATCAACAGCAAAGGAGAATGTAATGAAATCATATACATGCAGAAACGTGGACAATTCTTTAATTGTATGCTTTCTCAAACCTCAAAAAAATTGTTGTTCTGGCTAATTATTGTACTCTGAGTACCCATCTCCTATTTCTTTGCTCTTGACATTGACCCTGTTCAATTCCTTTTATAAAACTTCCTTATGGCCATATCCACTGCCTAAAACAACATAGAATACTTTGAGACCTAGTAATAAAACAATAGTTTCCTTTTTGAGCTCTTGCCATGTGCCAGGCACTATTCCAACAGTTTTGCATAAATTAGGATAACTTGATCTTTAGACTAGCCTCTTTAGGTACCTTCTGTCATTTTACAGTTGAGACACAGGAACTAACAGGGATTTCATTAAGAAACTTGTTTAAAGCCCCAGACTTAGTGAAGTAGAAGACTGAAGATTGGAAAAGAGGGCTTGAGCAATATTTGGCCATAGAAACCAGATCCATAGTATGTATAACCTCACATTCTCAAATGCTACTGGGAGTTACGTGGTGTTACTCTAATAGTCACAGCTACGGACTTGTTTCTTTTTCCTTGTTTAAAATAAACCTTTGTGGGCTAAAATGTGTTTCCTTTTTGTTTTTTTAGACGGAGTCTCGCTCTGTCACCTAGGCTGGAGTACAGTGACGCGATCTCGGCTCACTGTAAGCTCCGCTTCCCGGGTTTATGCCATTCTCCTGCCTCAGCCTCCCGAGTAGCTTGAACTACAGGCGACCGCCACCAGGCCCGGCTAATTTCATTTATTTATTTATTTATTTTTGGATTTTTAGTAGAGATGGAGTTTCACAGTTAGCCAGGATGGTCTCGATCTCCTGACCTCGTGATCTACCTGCCTCAGCCTCCTAAAGTGCTGGATGTGTTTCCATTTTGGAAAAAAAAAAAAAAAAATCCCTTTGTCATCAGATATTTCAGAAAGGTGTTTTCTCCCTTTTCATTGAGTTTTCAACCATTTTCAGTTGCATCTAGCATCGGAGAGTAAGGGTTATGAGTGCAGGTTCTGGATTAAATCCTCTCATTGTGAAATGGGGATATTAGTAGAGTACCTACCTCATGAGGTTCTGTAAAGGGTACAGAGATAATGTATCTCATGCACTTGACATAGCGATAACAGAGCCAACCCCTGTGGTTGGAATAGGCACAGTCCTACATACTTTGCAGAGAATAACTCTTTAATACTCAAACTAACTCTCTAAGGAAGGTAGTCTTTTTAGCTCTATTTTACAGACAGAAAACAAAGGCAACGAGAGGTTAACAAATTTGCCAAAGACACAAAGTTGGGGTTAGATCCCAAGTTCATCTTCCGAAACATGACACTATACAGACCCTACTGTGCCTACAATAAGTCTTTAATAAAGGTTAGCTCTCTACACACCTCACCTAAAGTTTGCTAAAGAGAATCCTTACTAACTTAATTACTCAGTCACTAAGAAGTTAATCTGGTTTATAAACTCCTCTCCATGGCATCAAAGACAGAAGTTTTGTTGTTGGGCAGTTGCAGGAGCAGAGTCAATACCCTGTCACCAAGGTTGGCCTGGAAAACAAGCTGCAAATGTCCAGAGTGATGCTGTATGGATGACTGGGGGTGGAGGGGGATTCTGAACCAACAGCCAAGAATCCCATTTTCAAGTCCTAACTCTGCCACACGTTTTCTATGTAACCTTGAGCATGTCACTTAACTTGACTCAGCTTCAATTTCTCATCTGTAAATGAAGGGGAATGAGACAGGATAAATGGAAAGGGTCTTTCCTACCCTAAAATTTCTGGATTCCATGAGCACAGGGTCTGAATATGTGTCCCTGTTAGATACCAGTGAAACACTGTACCAATAGGTTATTCATAGTATTCATACTTCACACCAAGAATGAGACATTCATCACTGTAACTTTCTTGATACTCATAAGTACATGAAAAATTATTTGAGAAGACCTCAAAAAAAGGAATCTAAGGCTAATGACAAATTTTTTAAGTGTCATAATTTTTTTTCAAGAATTAATAGTCATTGTTGTCCATATCCAGTTGTATTGGCTTATTTCCAACAAAATTTCCCTTGGCTACATGGGGCCTGAGATGCTCTAAGCTTTCAGAAGGACAGAAATGAGTAAGAGCATTTTTCCTAAAGAACAGGAGAATCGTCTTAAATGGGCATATGTGAACTATCTAGTTTCCCAATTACTGGCAAATAATTTTAATCTTGGACTGCCCTCTTTGCCATACAAGTATTGTATTACTTGGCCCCTGTATTAGTTTTCTATTTCTTGATATAACAAACTACCACAAACATAGTGGCCTAAAACAATATATTATTTTATCTGACAGTTGTGTAGGTCAGAAGTCCCATACCAGCTCACTAGACTAAGGTCAAGGTGTCAGCAGAGTCAGGTTCCTTCCTGGAGACTCTAGGAAGAATCTGTTTCCTTGTTTCATCCAGCTTCTAGAGGTGACCCACATTCCTTGGTTCATGGACGCCTTCCTCCATCTTCACAATCAGCAGCATAGCATCTCTCTAATGAGAGATGGGTTCGGGATGAAACTGTTCCACCTCAGATCATCAGACATTAGAGTCTCATAAGGAGCATGCAACCTAGATCCCCAGCATGTGCAGTTCACAGCAGGGTTCACGCTGCTATGAGAATCCAATGCCGTGCTGATCTGATAGGAGGCAGAGCACAGGCAGTAATGCTTGCCCGCTGCTTACCTCATGTAGTGTGGCCAGATTTCCAACAGACCACGGACGGGTACCAGTCCTTGGCCTGGGGGTTGGGGATTTATGAGAATCATGTTTCTATCAGATGTTATGGACCATTATCTGTCACTTGCTCTCTCCATTTGCATAGATAATTGACATTTGATATTTGGTAAGATTTTCTTTAGTTTCTTTTCTGGATAAACGTATCACTTTGGTATGTTTTGTGATACTTAGGACATCATGGTGTCATCCAAGCCAACAAGCCATGCTGGAGTATATGAAACCACACCCAACCCTTACTACCCACCAAGCAGCTTTACGGTTCCTGGATCTCAACAGCCTCCGGGTTCAATCAACTTAGAAAACCAAGCTCAGGGTGCTCAGAGTGCTCAGCCCTACTTCATCACATCTCCAGGAACCTCTGCTGTCAGTCAACCAGGTCAAGGAAATATACAAATAATAAATCCAAGCGTGGGAAGAGCAGTAATAAACTTTAAAGAAGAAGCAAAGGTACTAGGGGTAAGTCTATTTACTACTAGAATTTTAAATTCACATTTGCAAGGTCTTCTTATAAGTTATAGGAGAAGAGAATATCATCCACTTGCTAAAAAGTTTTGAATGTTATTCTGAAACTATCCCTTTTAGACAGAAATATTTAGTCTGCCTATAGACTTTCCCTTGAGTTCATTTCATTTTAGATCAAGCAAAAATATAACAGGAGACAGAGGAACCTCCCTAGCTGGAGGATTTGGTAATATTGACATGACGGAAACTCTACTACATCTAGCTTGATCTCATTTCTTCAAAGGACTTTTTGGACAATCTCAATCCCGTCTCCGGATTGGTTACAAGTCAGGTATTTGCATAAAGGTGAATTTACATAAAAATGAACATTGATGGCTGCCTCCAGAAAAGGAAACTACAAATGGGCAGTCTGGGAAAGGCTGAGTGTGAAAGAATTGGGGGACGTTCCATCTGCTGTGCCTCTCTCGCCAACATCCTTAGAGATGCTACAGCGTAACTGTCACCTTATTTCTACAAAGGAGACTCTGAACTGACCACCTTGTTTCTGTAGGCATTGTAAAAACAAAAATGCCCTATTTGTAAGAAAATTCCACCTGCCTAGGTAGAATTGTTACTCCCTTCGCTGTGCTTTCCAAATACGTCATTCATCCCGCTAGTACAATTCCACCAAATTATATTAAGTCTCTCCCTGTGAATAGCTCGAAATTCTCTGCTGGAGCATTCCGTAAATGAACGCTCATTATGTGCCAGAAAACCTTCTAGTCATCTTACTACCTATTTCAAGTTGTGATGTTTTAGGGAAGTAAAAATGAGCCTAAGTTCTCTTGCAGCAGCCTATTTACTAAGCTGTGGAGGTGGCCCTTCTGATCCTCCTCCTCCCAGATAGAGGAAATTCCCCACTTCTAATAAGCCAATGGGACAAACCCCCCATACAGCCAACCCCACATAGGTGCTTGGAATATATCACTGAGTACAAAGCAGGTGCAATCTCTGCCTTTACAGAACTTTTGCCCTAGTGGGGGAAACCAGACTGTACACATAAGAAGGAAGTAAAGTACTTAGTGTATTAGAAGGTGTCAAATGATATGGACAAAACAAAGAAGTGTAAAAGGGCTAAAAAGTACCAGACAGTGAGGAGGCAGCAATTTCAAGGCGGTCAGAATGGGCTTTCCTTAGAACATGACATTTGAGCAAAAACCTGAAGTTAGGAGTGAGCCCTGCAGATATCAGGGAAAGTGAAAACAACCAGTGTAAAAGTCTTTAGATGAAAATATCTGTGATGTATTTGAAAAACAGGGAGAAGGCCAATAAAATAGAACAGAATGAGGGAGGGAGGGAGCAGTTGTCAGGAGGGCAGAGGAGTGGCAGAGGCCACAGCTGGGAGGCCTGCAGAGCAGAAGGCTTTCGCTTTGACTAAGTGGATGACGAACCACTGAATCACGCTGCCTGGCACCAAAAAGGCGTGTGATAAAAATACTTTAAAAGACTATGAAGTTTTGTTTAAAGCTCCAGTTGGCAGAAGCTACTTCCTCTCTCTGAAGATTGTTATTTCTATACCATCAGCAGGCCCCAGGCATCACGACAGTGCAGGGGCCACAGGTGGCAGGACGTGGCACACCTGTACCAGTCAACTCAGACCTTAAAGTGCTTCTGTGTCCACAAATGCAGACAAATTGTATGTCCAAATTTTTAAGTGTGTCCTATAGGCAATTTTCATCAGTAAATGGTACAGCCAGGGCTGTAGGAGGAGAAATGAGGGCCAGTACAAATCCAGATCTAACTGTCCCTCACCAAGGTGACAGCAAGGATGAGGATGGGAAGTTTGTGGCCAGATGGCTAAATTGCTGCTCTAAAGAAGAGTTGTAAAAACCAAATATAAAGTCTAATACAGGAGTTCTTTAAGTGAGATAGGCTAAAGGAGGCCCATCATGCCTCTGAAACTATATGCAAAAGTATGGTATGTGTGTGTATGGAGGTGCAAGAATAATTTTTTAGGGAGAAAGGTTCACGGTTTTTATCAAAGTCTCAAGAAACTTTTAGCATTGTTTATAAAACTGGGTTTTTTTATTTTAATTCAATTTACTTGTGTTCAGTAGCTTTTTATTGAATAAATACAGCAGTCTTTGTATTTGCAGTCTTCCTGGATAGATAAGGTGTAAACATGGGGAAAAATAAATGACAAATCTACAGTCAACTTTTGGACCAATCTAGAAATGGTTATTCCTCAGAAATCTATCTTTATTTACAGTGAAGGAAGGTTCAATAAGAGGTACAAGGAGCTAAAAGATGCATACCTTACTTTTAGTAATATATGATTGGTAAGAAGAATGGTAAGAAAATGATTGCACACCTGTAACTTTTTAAAAGAGAACAATATCAATGAATACAAAATCAAGTAACAAGGTGTGTCTTATGTCATGAGATGCAACAGAAATTTAGAAAGAAAGAAAAAAGATTAATTTAGTGTAATCAAGACGACTTCATGGAAGAGGTAGAGCAGAGCTGAGCATGGGGGAAGACAGTACTGAATAGTTCAGACAGGCTCAGCAGTCAATGTGCTGCAGTAAATTCCCAGATCTGCCCCTCAGGAATTGCGTGACCTTGGATACAAGGTCTCACATGTCTTTATGTCTCTGGGACTCAATCCAATTGTGGGAGGACTACATGAAACAATAAATGTAAAGTGTTCAGAACATGACTAAGCACATAATTCATGCCTTATAAATGGTTTTATCTTCACCAGTCCCTTTACCCGTAACTGGGATGACCCAAGCAGAGAACTGATCCATCTGAAAAAGCAACTGCTGACATCACAGTTAAAGTATTTTTTTTCTAATAGTCTTTTAGAAGCCTTCAGAGATGCTAACGCATGATTAAGCAGCTGTACTTTCTGAAGAATTCTTCCTGGGCCACCCCAATAAGTCTCCCCAAATACCTCAAAACAAGGCGCTTCACTAAGGGCCCTGCACTCCAGTTATTCTAGTGTATGTCAGAATCTTCATGGCCCACCTCCTGCTTCGAATGCGTGCCTGAATGACAACCATGGATCTCAGCAAAATTGACAATCAATAAGCAGGGGCAGCAATGACAGTAATGTTTCACACGTCTGAAAGTGAAGAAGTAATTTTAAAATGGTTGTTTTCTTTTTTCAGGTAATCCAGATCATGGTTGGATTGATGCACCTTGGTTTTGGAATTATTTTGTGTCTAATAGTATGCCCTTATGGAACAGTACTCGGTTTTGCCTCTGCTGTTATTAGTGGATACCCATTCTGGGGTGGCCTTTCTGTGAGTAGATTGCTAGAACACCACTCCTTCTTGGTTTATAAAGTATTGATATCTCCAGCCAATTCACAATTCATTTCTTGATAAAGCCCTACATCTGAGGGCTGGAGAATTTAGAAAAATTAACAGCTCTGAATGAGCATAAAAAAATCAGGAACTTGTTTACCATTTTAAATAGGAGCTTATTCCATTCTTTAAAATGTAATCATGTAACCAGCATGCCAAAGTTTTGGTTTCCTACTACATTTGAGATGGAAATGTATGTATTGGGTGGAGAGAGAGAGAAAAAAAAAAGGTGATTGAAAACATGATTAAAAATATGCAAGTAAGTCAGGCATAGTGGTATGTGATTGTAGTCCCAGCTACTTGGGAGGCTGAGGCCGGGGAATTGCTTGAGTTCAAGAGATTGAGGCCAGCCTGAGCAATATAGTGAGACCCAATCTCCAAAAAAAATTTTTTAATTAAAAAAATGCAATTGATTATGAGAAGGGATGGAGCGTAAGCCTCAGAACAAGGAATGCTTAGACATTATGAGTTCCTCATGGGCCAGAAATTAAGGAGAAAATAAAAAAGAAGTCAAGGACATACATGCCTGAGAGTTACCCAGAAAATTTAGAAGTGCAAGAGAAAATTTTGAGAAGGAAGCTAGATGAACGTAAATAGACCAACCTTTTGTATAAAGAGAAACTCCCAAGCACAACCAGTTAACCCATTTCTCAACTAAATTTGTCCATTTCCACAGTTCATTATCTCAGGCTCTCTCTCTGTGTCAGCATCCAAGGAGCTTTCCCCTTGTCTGGTAAGTTAGACTGTTTCTGCTTTTTTAACCCCTTTAAAGATTAGCTTAACATATTGGGGAGGAAAATTGAAAAGCTGGATTTGGGAAATGCAAAAGAGAGCACCTTTCCCAAAAAAAATCTATTGGTTGCCTCATGGTCTGAGCGCCGGGGTAGGAGAGTGGTCCACACAGCCTGCCACTAAGAAATGGCAGAGTTCCACATCCTGACTCTTGAACTGACAAGGGTGAGAAGTAGTAAAGATCAGGGTTGTTTAAGCTTTAACCTGAAAGCTCCCTGGTTCAGTGAGGTCACACTCTATTATGGGAAGTCCAAAGGAGAATCCAGGAGCCAGGAAATACCTACTAGCCACATCAGTTGCCAAGTCTCTACTGTTAATTTGCCACTTCTCAGCTCTGTCTTGTATTTTTATTTTCATATTTTTGCATCTTTCCTACTCTTACTCAAGATTGGGTGTGTGTTTTACAATTCTTTAAATTGCCATTAAATGAATCTAGCCTGTTCCGTAAGAAGAGTTTATAAAAATGATCACTAAGATGGGACCTTGAGTTCTGTTGGTCACAGCGCCCCACCTATTGCAATTTCCCGGTCTACTATTGAACCAGGAAAAAGAAAGTGATTTACCAAGAATTAGAGTCAACTAGGGCAGAGGTGGTGTCAAAATTATATGTAATCCAGCACAAGAGGGAAGAATGGGGAAAGAGGAACACAGGATTGTGTAGTTCATGCTCTTCCAGACAAAACAAGAATAAAATAATTAAATCAAAATAAAATAAGCCTAATTCTGATTAACCACTCCTGTTGTAGTCCAAAAACAAAATAAAGCACCCTTTCTCTGCATCCTTTAAGGATCCTTCCCTCTAATTGAGATTGTCCAAGCATAGATTCCATCCTCTCAGAGGAGACAGCCACTGACACTTACCTAAGACAATTTTTCTAAGAGCTTTCAGAGACCATCAGGAGGCTCTAAGGCATGCTGCAGTACAAGCACATTCTAAAGAACTCAACTATGCCACCCCTAGCAAGTCAGCTGCAGATCTGCTTTCACAATTATTCTTCTGCATGTTAAAATCCTATTGTAGAAACTGGGGAAAGATTTGTAGTCACCCATACACCTCTGCCCACAAAAGCTTGAAGAGTTTCTCCTTCTAAATTTGGGGGTGCATATTTAGTCCCTAGAGAGACTTAGGGTTTTCATTAATTCCTAAATTTTTCAGCAAACATGTTGTGTCTAAATACTTTGCCATCTATAAAAATCAGATGCTATCATACCACCTCATACAAAAGCTGTAAGAGTTAAGTGAGATAATTTAAATAATTTAACACAGTGTCTGCCACAGAAAAATGCTCATTAGAAGTTTTTTCATTTTTTATAAAGAAAATATAGTTGTTATTGTGCATGAGGCTTTTAGTAAAAACAATAAATGAGTGCCTGCTTTATATGATTTACATTTTTCTACAGCTTTTTAGAAGTACCCTACCTCTAGGCTGCATATAGAATAATGTTTATGGTAATTACCCAGAAGGGCAGAAAATAGAATAATTTCAACTTGAAAATTTGTTTTGAAAGTTCAAAAATTAAGAACCATGAAATTTGATTGATTCTTATTTCATTTAACTTCAGTGATCCTGTATATAATTGATTTTTGCCTGCCATCTCCACTAGGTGAAAGGCAGCCTGGGAATGAACATTGTTAGTTCTATCTTTGCCTTCATTGGAGTGATTCTGCTGGTGGTGGATATGTGCATCCATGGGCCTTACCAACGGGTCGTAAGTATCCCATAATCCACCATGTGCTTGCTCTCTTTTCAGTCCTGTAAAGTGGGTCTATGTTTTATCTCTTAATACCGTACACCAGCTCTAATGGAAATTTTTTTTTCTATTCTAGCCCCACCCCTAGTCATATGATCTCTAGGACTATAGAATAAAGTGAGAGGGTTACCTCTACAGATAGACGGAGGCTTAAAGGACATCCTTTATTGGCCCATCTCACTGTCAATCAAATGAACAATGGGGAAGGGTTTCTAAAATTGTCCAAAAATTATTTTCCCAACATCTGAAATTCTATATAAATAAGGTAGTCAAGCTATTGAGTGTTTTTTGTTAAACTTCAGAGTAAAGTATGAAGTGAGAGGTAAATGACAGGGATAAGAATATCCGATTTTTACAGAGAAACCCAAGGAATGAAGCAATTGCAAAATGAAGCACATGCCTCTGAATGTGCTCAAAACAGAATCACACATTCATTAGCCTTATACAGCCAAGCATGGACTCCGACCTTAGGAGGAAATGGGTGGCCCAAGGGCAGGAATGCTTACCATCTATAAGGAATGGAGGAACATGGTATAAAATGAGGTTGGACTGGAAGCTTTCATTCTACCTCAATGGTCACGTTAAGAAGTTTGGTTTTCATTCTGTGAGCAATGGAAAACCACAGAAGAGTAGTTTTATATGTTTTGTTTTATTTTATGTTGGGGTTGGTTTTGCTTTTGCTTTTCAGTTTACAAAAAGCAGAGTTTATTAAATTACTGTGGGATATACATATCTTAAGAAAGACACAGAATGACTTCCTTATATATCTAGAACATAATAACATTAAGACAATATCACAATATTTTGAACAAATAAACACAATAACATTTCCCTTATCCGTTCACTCAGTACTGTGTAAGTAATTCTGTTCCACTCGATCTCAGAGTGGCAGGCTTATGAAGCCATCTGCTTCTCAACTAAAGGGTTCTGAAATCCTGACTCCAACCATTGGTATAATCTGAAAGTTGTCTAAGCACTCCCATCAGATGCCTGTCCCCTAGAGTATGTTCTTTGAAGTGTCAATAGTTGGAATTGCTGGCACACTCCTTTTCCACCAAGTTCTGAGACAATCCTTCTTTGTTAAAAACGTAGAAGAGTTTTAGGCCGGGAATTTGAATGATCACTTTTGTGCTTGCAAAGGACAACACTGTTTGCAGCATAAGGAAAAGCTTATATAAGAAGGTGTATTCGGTTGTTTTCACACTGCTGATAAAGAAACACCAAAGACTGGGAAGAAAAAGGGGTTTAATGAGCTTAGAGTTCCATATGGCTGGGGAGGCCTCACAATCATGGCAGAAGGCAAGGAGGAGCAAATCATGTCTTATATGGATAGGGGCAGGCAAAAAAAAATAGAGCTTGTGCAGGGAAACCCCTGTTTTTTAAAACCATCGGATCTCATGAGACCCATTCACTATCACAAGAATAGCATGGGAAAGACCCGCCCTCATAATTCAATCATCTCCCAGCAGGTTCCTCCCACAACAAGTGGGAATTATGGGAGCTACAAGATGAGATTTGGGTGGGGACACAGAGCCAAACCATATCAGGAGGCAAAAAAAGATGAGAAAGCTTCTTGGTAAATAAGGCAGAGTGAAGCAGGAACAAAATTCATCCTCCAAAATACCAAACAAAAGAACAAAAAGTATTCAAAAAAACAGCTTTCAAACTGGCATCCAAGTAGAGAAAAGAATCATTCTGATGCTACTCAAAGTAGCTGAAAAAAAGTACAGCTTTTAGACCTCACTCTTGTTTCCCTAGAAACAAAACTAAGGAAAAAAGGGAAGCCAAAAAAATTACTGAGAAGTCTCACTAACACTCTTGAGTCTGTAGCTGAGAAGGCTGGGGTGGAGAGTAGTCAATTCTGCGAAAGGATAAAGCAAATCCTGTATGGTACAAGACGATGGGTAGTACCCAGGACCTCAGGAGACAGAAGAAAGGGCAACACCTTCCCATACCCTGCATGGTACCCTGCTACCAGCAGGAAATGAGCAGAAATGCACAGGAATAAACCTCCAGTCAAGGAGCAGGCCTCCATACTAAGCATTTAGCAGGCTCTCAGAAGACAGAAAAGGCAAAGTCCATGTTCACTAGCAAGAACTGTGCTCGGGGCCAGCTAAGCTATATCTCTCCCTGCAACAGCTATATGTTTACATTTAGAAACATGGATATGAAACAACAGCTAGGGCTCACGTTGTAATGGAAGCAAGGAAGACAAATGGGACCCAAATAAACAGAAGTGTGAATGAAGGAAAATTCACCTACACTGTATCTGATCAAGTAGAAGGCCTGTATAGAGTTCAAGTGAGCTTAACACTTTTACTTAAAATCGAAATAACATGATTCCATTCTTATAGAATGATGCTCCTCTCTCTTGGTCTCTGTTTTTTCCTCTCTCATGGCATCTTTCCACATATTCATTCTTCTGCCTTTTCCCTGTACACAGAGCGCTAGGATAACAGCCATCAAACATTAGTTTTGGTTATTTCTAAGCAGTGGCATTTTGAACGATCCATTGGTTTCCATATTGCTTGACTTTTTTAACATTTTTATAAAAAAAAGCAATGAGGCCGTCACAAAGGAAAAAAAAAACTACCTTCTTTCTAATATTTCTAAACAAAATAGCCTACTTACCAAAAGGAAAGACTTCTGGTATTTTAAAGAAAATTCAAAATAACTTCACACTCCTCTGAAACAAGCATTCGATGATACTGGAAGAATAAGCATGGAGCAAGTTGAGTATAAGCAATAGCACATTTGATGAGTCAATAATTTTTGAAGCCCATGTGAGGCCCTCCTGATTAGCCAAAATTTCACTATCTATTTATGATTTCAGTATTCTAGACAAGGCATTTCAGCCATGCTGATGATCTTCTCCCTCCTGGAGGTCTGCACAGCTTGTGTCACAGCTTATTTTGCCAACCAAGCAGACACCACGACCAACATGGTGAGTTGTGTCTCTTCTTTGTAAAATAATCTGAAGATGCCCTGGAGAAAAACAGACTTGTGTCTGCTAAATCCCACTATGGGCTTACCAGAATGCTCTTTGTCCTTCACTCTGATGGTACCAGGAGAAATTGCATAGGATTGTAGTAACCTTATTGCTGGTTTTTATTCATTCTTTCCAGCCTGTCCTGGTTATTCCAAATATGTATGAAAACAACCCTGTGACACCAGCGTCTTCTTCAGCGCCTCCCAGATGCAACAACTACTGTAACTAATGTCCCTAGACATTAAAAGAAAAAGGGGGATCAGTCTAATCTCATGGGGAAAAATTGCTTGCAAAAAGTTCTTAAGAAGATGTCTTTTATTGCCCACAATGATTTCTAGTCTTTAAAAACTGTGTTTGAGATTTGTTTTCAGGTTGGTCGCTAATGACGGCTTTATCTCCCTTCACTGTCTCTTCCTACATTACCACTACTACATGCTGGCAAAGGTGAAGGATTGGAGGACTGAAAAATGATTCCGCACTCTCTTAAAGTTAGAAATGTTTCTGTTCATATTACTTTTTCCTTAATAAAATGTCATTCGAAACAAAAGCCTTTTTCAGTGTGTTTTAAAAATTGATTTTGATTTGATATTGGCTGTAGAGCAGTAGATCTGACCTATACTCCAAGAAGATTGATAAATCTTCTTTGATGATGATTTTTCTAGGTGTCCAGTCACTGGAGTTCCCTAACTCATCTCCTCCTCGTCTTTTTGTTCAGAAAGCAAATGTCCAATTGCCCTTGTTGGAGGTCACATTATTCTATACACTAATATCATCAAACATCTTGCCTCCTGAATATCTACAAAATTTTGCTATTTACAGAGTATTTTCATGTACATTAAACTAACCTGTAATGGGACAACAGTAGGACAGGGTTGCTGCATTGAGGGGTTTTCATTTGAGTTTGGCTTTTTGTTTTTGAATTGTGGGCACATTTATAAGCCAATTAGAACAATCAAGGTAAGAAGGAAGGGATGAAAGACAGTGTAAGTTTCAAGAAATCAAAAGCACGGATGGATAACATCACCTCAGTCATGAAGAAGGGCAGTTTCTCTACAAAATAGAAAGGTATCATTATCACAGATATCCACAGATTTGCAATAGTGGCAGTGAGGATCTGATGTGATGGCTCATGTCATCCCTGTCAAAGCAGTAGTGACGTCATGCCCAAGGTAGGGGCATAGGTAGAGTCAGAATACTGAGCAGAATGGTAACATGGGAAAAGTCATGGAACTGGAGAATAAAGTAGTCAGAGAAATAGGATTGCCAAGCTGTATGGAGGGCACACCTGAGGATGTGGTAACAAATTCAGAGTATGAACAAATTGCTCCTGCAAGGTCCTGCTGCTAGATCCAGGCAAACTATGGATCCAGGAAACTCTCTATTTGATTTTGTCCAGGGTTAAGGTTTTGCTAGAGGAGATGGCAAATAGCAGAAGGGCAAGAAAGCTTAGGACATTGTAAAAAATACTATTTAAATGATAGACTGTGGAATCTAAACTGGATAAGGAAGGAATAATAGTAATAATAAAAGCAATAATAAAGAAAAAAGACAGATTGATCATAAATGGAGAAATCTGCCTTTTCTCCAGGAGCTGTTGTGAAAATAAAATAAGATAATGTTATATAAATATGGTTTGAAAATAGCAAAATATTGTTCCTTTTTGAAATCTTAATATTATTAAAGAAGAGGAGACAAATAAATACAAAAAGACTAGGCAGATAAATCAAAATCAGGGAAGAGGCAGATGAGAAGAATAGAATTTTTGCATCTGGGAAAGCAGGTATATTATGTCAGGTGAGAGTCACATAATTTCAACGTGCTTGACCTGCCTGGGTCCCAGCTATTCAGAAACTTGGGTGATTAGAAATGCTGTGTCCTTCACCATGAAGCTCAACAGCTCAGCAAAAGTGAAGACATAGATTTCACGGTCTGAGGGTCTGGAAAATAAAAGGTGCCCCCAAAATGTGGGGAGGATGGTATATTGCATATCTATACATGTAAAATAAGCAAATATAAAAGTAACTTACTTTAGGGAACAGAAGCATTTCCAGCAAAGTTCATTTTTTAAATTTCTATCAAATATATTCTATTTTTCAATTTACTTTAATAATAGTAATAATAACAGCATATATTTAGCCCATTCTTTGTACCACTCACATTCCAAGCACTGTTTCAATGCTCACAACAACCACCTGTGAGGCAGATACTACTATTAGGATCCTATTCAGATGAAAAAACTTTGGCAGCCAGGTTAAAAATCTTGTCCTAAGATATGTAGCTAGCAAATGGTGAAGCATGGATTTGAATCCGGGCAGCATGACTCCCAGGTCCGCACAGTTGCCCTAACCATTATTCTCACTATTCTTATGGTCTTGGATAGAATCAGACGTTTGTAATGCCAAAACAAACAGAAATGTTTCTCTACAGAAAGCTTGTAATAAATGTGGAAGAAATTGCCTTATTCGCTGATAAGAGAGAGGAGATTTAGTAGTATAAAAATATAGTTGACACTTAAACAACATGAGTTTGAACTGCGTGGCTCCACTTATGTACATGTTTTTTCAGTGTGGGAAAAGTCATGGAAATGGAGAATAAACTGATCAGAGAAACAGAGGATTACCAAGCTATACCGAGGGTATGTTTGAGGGGGTTTTAGCAAATTTATACTATGAACAAATTTCTCCAGCTGGGCCTGTGATCTGAGACCCTAGAATGTGACTGGAATAGAAATATTATATTGCAACATAGAGGTCACGTGCCTGCTGTGGTATTATTTAAAGCCCTTATGGCATTTTCATTCTGGAAAATCTTTTTTAAATGTTCATTTTTTTCATTCATTTGCTTAAAAAGAAGTATTACACTACAACTTGGTGATGAAAACTTTGCTATTCCATAAAATTTAGGCTTTACATATTTTTTTCATGTAGGGTAATATAAAATGAAATGGAGTAAGATTTATCTACATGTCAGTGAACACATGCTTTCTTCATGCACAATTAATGCTGGATTTGCATACAAAGACTTCGCCTATGAAATATAACTTAAGCTACACACACACATACACATTACACACACATCTCAAGTACTTTCTATATTTAGTCTCTTCCTTCCTCAGAAGAGCACAGATCATTATTAGATCTCTAGGGCTCTAGGGTGTCTTCTAATTCTAGATTCTAAGGCTTTAGAGAAGGTCGATTATTCATCATGAAACACATGGACTCAAGAATGATCTTTCAAGAATCTATAAATGTATCTTAGATAAACATGTGTCATTGATTCATGCCGGGCCCAAACAACATTTCTGAAAGCTCTCTTTCCCAGAACATGTTTGCATTTGTCACAACCCTCTAATAATCCATCACAATTGTCCCCTTTTCCCACAGAGCACATGCTGGCTAAACCTACCCTGAGTTTGGACAACTGGGGGTGGGGTGCAGAGTCCCTAGGCATCTATTTGCAGTGGTGATTTGCATCAAGGAAAATATGCCACCGAAATTTTGAGTGCAGGTATCTGATGCTCGAACTGAAAGATCAGAGTCCAGTTGCCCGCCTCACCTAGGTGACCAGGTCTAATCCCCATGGAGAAAGGGCTGTGCTCCACATTTGTGCATGGACTATACCCAGGCTCCTCCTCTGTAAGGAAGACTGAAGAACATACTAGGCTGTTTGAATACCTCCAGGGCTCTGGTGCTTTGAGAGCCCTGGGAGACAGCACCTGTGGTAAGGCAGCCTTCTCCCAGAGAAGCTGCAGCAAGGCGGGAGAAGACTACAATGTATCTGGAAAGTGGCTGTCCCATGCACTCAGCAACAGCTCAGCCGAGGCCTGTTGGAGAATAAATGTGAAAATTCTGGGGACTCCCAGAAATGTTCTGGAAATGGGGATTTGCAAATAACTGGGATCATTCTTCAACGCATGAGGGTGGAAACCAGGCCAACTGGGCCATAAGGCTAATATGTCCTGCTAATTCCCACAGGCTGGAGAGGCCTTGGATATCAGGGTTTTCCTAAAACTTGCTGATTTCTGCCTTTTTCTCTTCATTTTGCATTTAAAACAAACCAAGCGAATTTATAATTTGTAACTGTTCTCTCTTTTCGCCGAGCTCTCCTCCTCTCCCTCAGTTCCCTGGTTTCACTCTTAAAAACAAATCACTGTTACTAAATTCTAGCACTACTAGCAGTGCTCAACGGGCTTCATTCAATCTCTTTCTCCACACACACATCCCAGGGGTCTCTATTTCACTTAAGTCTCATGCACAATTTCACTTTATATTTCACAACTCCTCCTAGTCTCCCAAGTATTTGGCAACGCTTAAGGATATGGTATGGACTTTTAGGCCAAATGTCATTTCATATATTCATACAATGCTACAATGTGTACTTCAAGACCCTAATTTTACAGATGAGAAATGAATTCAAAGAGTAGAGGAGGGGAGTACACACAGCCAGAACTGGAGCTGGAAACTATCCCTAGACCTTATGATTTCTTCAACAATATTCTTTATGCGGTTCCATGACAGTTACAACACAGAGCTCTTTCTGAAGGAGGCTTAGAGCAAGAAAAGTGGGTAGGAGGATGGGCTACAGATTCTGGAGCTAGACTTACACTGCTGGAGTTAGAATCTCAACTCGAACATTTATAAGCTGTGCGACTCTTTACTTTGCCAAACCTTAGCATACTCATCTGTTAAAATGAACATAACAATGGTATGTACATCACTGGCATGTGGTGAAGTTTAATTAAAATAAGCAATATAAGGCACTTAACATATTGCCTCAACAAAGCAAATGCAAGGGAAAAAAGCAAGATAAGTTTAAGCCATTAATTAGCATTTTACTAAAGAATATAAGTGATATAGTAAACATATGAAAACTGAAATCTACTATATACATGTATGTGTACCTGCATATATATATCTATATACATATAGATTACACTTTACATAAATATACATATGTATGGATATTGCATTTCTACAATGAATTCAATTGTTTAGTTTCCTCAGTTTGCATAGATTTCCATTTTACTTGACTAGAACAACCTAGTGTTTTCTCTAGAGTATAAATAAATAAAATTCCTCAAAGAAATCTGGACAAGTTATTTTATTAGGGCTCACAGCCAACAGGGTCCTTGTAATAATCCCCAACAATGGTTTTAACATTATATAGGTATTGTGGTTCCAGCACATTTTCACTAATGTCTTTTGTATATTGGGAACCAATTCAAGAGAAATTAACAACATGATACACATGGAGAAATAAAAGTCATATTGGATGTCAAACCATGACTGATTGATTGCCTCTTCATTGCTGAAGAATACAGTTTTTAACAACCAAAAGATAAAAAATTAAAGTGAATTCTGAATTTCCAAATCCAGTTTATAGGTACTGAGAAGATCAATGTTGCTTTTACTGATCTGTGATAGTAGCAGAAAAAATAAGATGTGCCGAGGAACCATGCCTGTCTCACAGTTTGGCTCATTCTTCTATTTTTGCCTATGTTTACACTGAATGCACATTTTGTTCCCAGTCCAAAACACGATCAAATCCATGATAATTTCCAGAGACTATTGGCCAAATCTTAAATGAAGAAATATATCACTTCTCTCACAAATAACGGCAGCAAGTTACAACGGGGGTCCATCTCATCAGAACTGGCTCTTTCTACTATGGATTCTAAAAAATCCATAACCCTGGGCTTGAAGACACAGTTCCTCTTTCTACAGCAAAGAGAATGCTTAATATTATCAGAGCCCTCTCTGCTCATAGAGAAGAAACTCACAAAAAAATAATAATGCCAGAAAATCAAGTGGTATATTACTTAAGAATAAAACTATTACCTTCAACGACATACTGACCAATACAAAATGTAAAGACTTTAAAAGAGCCTGGTTTTTTTTTTTTTCTTTGATTTGAGGGGACTTTGGAGTCTCAATGTAAGGAGGCTAGCTGTGAGACTAAAAATAAAGTTTCTCAGCTTACAGTTGATTTTTCAGGCAATAAAAGATCTTGATGGATTTTAGACACACTCATGATTTAGCTTTTGCAAATAAAGATGTTGGAAGCACAGAAAATTTCCTTATGAAAGAAAAATCTGTCTTGTTTTCTGCATGTTTTACTCACTGGCTATCATTGACTAAAAATTTACAGTACAAGCTGGAATTTTAACTTTTCCACAATGTCAATTTAAATCTTCCATGAATAAATGAGAAATGGTATTGAGTAACTGTTCCCCAGGTACTGTAAATGCCTCAGTAAGTCATGATAGCTGCCTAAGAGGATGGTCTGTACTCCTCATCTACAGGACCTCTTCATAAACACTGTTTTAACTACTGTCTACACCTCAGACAGAAAACTGGCACCATGTATCACCCAAAAGGTAAACCCACCTCAGCAAGTGGATCAAAAAGTCCTCTGGTGTCTTGTTAAGTATTACTCTCGTCACTAATTTCCTTCTTCGGTTATTTATGTTTAAAGAAAAAAAAAGTGAGCCATTGATTCAGTCACTTCACTTGAAAGTGCACCCTTCAAAGTGCACTTGTGGTCAACATTTTTCTTTGAAGACAGAAAAGGTGAAGGGCAGACTTTTCCCCGGTGATCCTGGTCACTGTGCAGCAGGTGTGTGTATAAGAAACGCACCAATATGGGCAATCTCAGAACACAGGTTTGCAGAAACCATTCCTAGAGACACCAAAATGTAGTTGACCGGTTGTCTGACCACGTGGCTGCCAGGGGCCTAGTGAGTCTGCGCACACGCACTCTCTCCGCCTCTGCCGTTCCCGAGTGGGAGCGCAGGCGCAGGAGGAGCACACCGTTGCCATTGGAGACCTTCACTCCCTGAGGAGCCTGAGGGTCGGCTGGGTGCTGGGTTCCAGGCTATCCCTGTGATGGTAGCTCAGCGAGATCTGGGGACCTGACGCTGAGCGCGTTGCCAACCAGGATCTTCCTCTTCATCTAGGCCCAGGCGCTGGCATGAGAACCTGGTCTGGGTCCTGGACGAGCGCCCCCCGAAACTTCTCGGAACCTTGAATAAGTAAAATGCAGGGTAGTGATGCTTTGCTGGAGTGATTTCGTGTCAAAAGCCATAAAGGGACACGGAGGCTGATTACGGTGCTCCTCTCCCCACAGCTTCCCTGTTCTCTTATCATCTCCCTCCCTCCCTCATCAGTCTGGATCTTAACGCACCCCGCCCCCTACCCCGCGCCCCATTCTTGATTTGATCCAGTATTGAGTCTCTGGGTTCTAGCCCAGGACTGTCCTTGGTCATACAGAAATGAATTCCTTGACTTCTGGGAGCTCCCATTGACTTAGGAGCCAGTCCTGAAAATCGAAAGAACACACTGTGGTAGGAATTATGCTCGGAATGTTGGGGGAACAAGGTGTGGGGCATCTAACAGGCTTGTGAGACAGAGTAGGCTTCCCAAACAAGGTTACTGCGGGAGCTGTTCGTGTGGAAACAGAGAAGTGGTCAGGATGAGGTTAAGAAGCCGAGCGAGGAGCTGTTCATGAAGGGCTTTACCTGCCCTGCTAAAGAATTCGGACTTAATTCTGAAGGCGCCAAGGGGTTGCATCCCTGCTAAAGATGCTAAAGATAGAGAAGCGTTTTCTAGATAAGAGCTTTCTGCGACTATTTCAGAATTTCTATATAAAGCAAGTTCAGGGGATAAGAATGGGGTTGGGAGTAAGGGTTAGGGTACTCATTCCTCAGCTGCTTTTGGATTGACAGGATCACCAAAAAATAAAAACAAATAAATGATTCCTTTTATTCATTTGTTTTTACAAATAATGGGATGCTTAACTGGGTTTAAAGTACTCAAACACAGGATGATTTTTAAAAAAGAAAAGAATTGCAACCATCAGTTATTGCAGGAATATGTTGTAGTATTTCTTAGTTTCTTCCTTCCATCAACTAACCTGAGAATTTTGAACACCCCCACTTTTTCTGATTGGCATTTTTTAGGAATAACAAACCTAGGGTGGTTTGGGTAGGGGTCTGATGAAGATTACAGAGATGCCAGATATTCTGCTCCCCAAGTCACTTCATGGTGCTTCCACTGTTAACTACGAAAGTGAAAAGAATTTTCTATACAGTCATCCCTCCGTATCTGCTGGGTGGATACCAACATCAAAGAGTGCTCGAGTCCCTAATACAAAGGGGAGTAGGATTTGCATGTAACATGCAAATCGCCTATACTTTAAATCATCTCTAGATTACTTATAATATCTAATACAGTGCAAATGCTATGTAAATAGTTGTTACACCACATTGACGGTTGCATTTGTATTTTTACTGGCATGTTTTTTGAATATTTTTGATCCACTATTGGTTGAATCAGATGAAACAGAGGGCCAATTGTATACATAAAAGGGCCTATTTGTATTTTCTTGTTTTCTGTAAAGTGACAAATAATAGCAATGTAGATATGCTGTTCCTTATTATTCTATATGGATTCTGTAATTTTATGGTTTTTTATTTAATCATAGCAGAGTGATTGATTTTGATTGTCTATGCTTCTAAACACTTTATTTCTCAAAGATTGTGTTTGAATGTATAAAGCTTACTTCAGTTAGTAACATATTGTTTTCTCTCTGTTGCTATTACTAACTTGTGTTCTTAACTAGTTTTTTCTGTCTCTACACTTTATAGCATTAAGAGACATTGAGAAAACAATTTTAGAAAACAAAGACCTATTAAAATAATTAAGTCATGAGATTTTACAAGTACAGAGAATAAGAGGTCAGTTGGTCAAATTCCCTCCTTTCTGAAAAGATCAAGTCTCAAATTTTAGGATCATGTTAGTGAGGTGGCATGACTCAAGCTATTGACCTATGTAAGCATGACATACTAGCAGATGTAGAATTCCAGATCTAAAAATAAATACAATCCACAAGGGGATATAATTAATAGCCAGGTTTTATCTTAATATAAATGTGGAGATGATCTGAACAACAGAGAGAAAAGCAGGAATAACAGGGAAAAAAAAGACCAGGAAATGCATTAACATTAACATTGTGGGAGCAACTTCAGTAAGTTGTCTGATAGAATAAAAGATTCTTTTCATATAGAAATAACTGAGTTGCAGGTATGTGTCAGAAAAAATAATCACAAGCCCACTTTTTGATGAATTTGATGATTACAAGAATTTGGTTTTGAAAATGCAAACGGCACTATGGATTGCATTGAATTGATTACGAATTGCAAATAAATTGTTGAAAGTTTTACTGAAAATTCTCTAATACTATTCCCTAGATATCCTTCATACCTTATCATTTCTGTTACTGTTTACTCTGTAAACAGTAGGCACTATTCACTACTCAGAGATCATATCTGTAAAATGCCGATATGTTTTAGTCACAGAGAGAGACTTTTCAGTTATGAAGGCTGTTATTCAGAACAGGTGGATGAAAATTGATGCCTCTGATATTAAGGCCTAGAAAGAAGAAGGCTATTGCTTCTGAATTTGGGGAGGCGGTGGCTGAACAATAAGGAAAGGATCAAACTCATGTATTTTCTTCTAAGAAAATCATGTATATGTGCCTTGTATTGTTTTGTAGAAGTTTGCTAAAGATATCACCAAAGGTTAGAGAGAAAACCATCTAGAGGAAATGCTGGCAGTATGGCATGTGTTCACTCAAAAATCTCTACAGCAAATTCTCTCGTTTTAGGGGTAAGATTTCACTTTGACTAACTAAATTTAAGATCATGAACTATTTCATTTTTTTAAAGGACATATTGGATCTGAAGAGGGACAGACTTGGTTAAATCAAAAGGGTAAAAGTTTATGTTTTTCAAATGTTGATTGTCTTCTACAAATTTTGACTGATCTCATGTTCTTTCATGTGCTGAGATGTAAGTATACAGACTAAACCACTACACACAGGATAACAGAGAAATCCAAGTAAGGTTTAAAAGGAAAAAAGAGAATACTGTACTTACATCTATGCAGTAGGATGATTATAAATTTGTCTCTTGTATTAAGTTATAAACATGTGAAGTTACAGTTTAGCTTTCTTAATAAACATCAAGGAATTATGAGCATCATGCTTTTTCACATCCAAAGGGGAGAAAACTTTTCCACTCATGTGAACTTTTCTTCTGAATTTGAACGTTGCATGGATCAATTATCTAAGTCACCTATTCGACTGTGCAGCAGAGGTTCTTAACCTCTTTGGGGTCACAGACCATTTTGGCATGGAATGAAAGTTCTAAATCTTCTTCCCAGAATTACGTACATGTCGTAATCCTTTGCATTTTTTTTCTGGGGGCAGGGGGTAGGCGGGTCTGACCTCCTGGAACTCATATTGGCTCTAGATTAAGAATCATTTTTAAATAAGAAAACCGATCTTGTCCTTCTCCACACACTGGCAGTTCTTAACAAGCTTTGGCTAATTAGATATTTCATAGTCTTATATAAAACAATAGTCAATCATTTAAAAAGAGAGTATTTTTCAAGCCCACTTACTTTTTTAACAGTTAGGAAAGCCACATGGAATCATTATTCTTGACACCAGTATGCTTATATAAGAGGTATTTGCTGGATGCCTTCTCTATTCTGGTCACCATATTAGAGGCTGGTGATAAAGCAATAAGAAAAACAAACTCCAGACCCTGTGAGATTTTGCAGCCTAGTGGGGGATATTTCTCCAAGCAAATCCAAAGAATTTCTGGAAATATTACCATTCTTGCAAATTAGATGCAAGGGGAAACCTTAAATTCTAAATCTATAAAAATGCATGATCATTACCAAAAAAGAGACCTTTCCTTAAAAAAAAAACTTCTCCAAAATGTATTTTTTAAAGTTAGCCAATTGCATTTACATATTTCATAGACTGCCTGCTTTGCAAAGAGCTGGAACTCTTAAAACATTGAATAGTTTTCTGTTAAAGTTTACATGAAAATAAAATTTATGTGTCCTCTGTCATTTTTAAAGAGTAGTAAAAAAATGTGATTAAATATATGAAATATCAGTTCACATATAAATCCAGAAATAAATTTGCTGGGCTTATAATTATCTTCTTACAAATTAGAGTTGAGTAATAATTCTCCCCTATTCAAACTCCTTCCCCTCTCCAATGGGAAAACGGAGTTCAAGCAAGTCCATTCTGGATATTTTCTGTATTGTTGTGTTGGATTATGCCTCACTCCAGCATACTTGTGAAAAAAAATCATACCAAGTACTCCTTGAAGGAAAAGATAAATCAAACCTTTATAAAAGTCAAAAAGTGATTCATCTTTAATAAATTACTAATGTACAAGAAAATGTTGGATTTATGGCTTCCTGCATTATAGCAGATTAGTAACCACATTTTCTCTGAAGTAATCCCAATATTCTCCTCTCATACCATTACTTGATAGGTAGGGAGACTAGCCAGTGATAGAATCAAACTGTTAACTTACAGGAGAATTGACCAGAGCTACTATTATTGAACAGCCTGTTGTTTTCAGTATGACTGATTCCTATTTGGTATATCTCAGTCCTTCCTGATTGATCCTTTTTTCTGGGATAACCAATCCAGGAAATACATTATTAAGTGCATTGCTGTTTTACTTTTGTATTTGTAAAGGTGTTAAATGCTTCTTATAGTTAACACTTATTGGAATTGTGTTTTAAATTACATTATTTAGGTACTAACAGCATTCTCTTCTCACAGGCTATCCAGATTATGATTGGCATCTTTCATGTTTTCATGTGGTACTTCCTATTGGTTTTGTATAAGGGGCAAATTAAAGGAGCCTTTGGAATATATGAACCTATAACTTACAAAACAGGATGTACTTTGTGGGGAATTTTTGTGAGTAGAATACATATATATTGCTTTAATCATAAAATAAATAATATTCATGCCAATAATATAAGGTAGGGAACGGTTTCTGAACAAGGTTTTCAGGAGAATTATGTAACTAAATCTCATGTTGATAATTTATTCAAAGTCAGATTCCTTTTTTCAACAAATATATATTGAGTACCTTTAATTTACAAATGCTGTTTCAAGAGATATGAAAACAGGAGTACACAGTGACAGCCATAGGGCAGTTCGTCCCCAGATATGTGAAAGGCAAAGAATCTCAACTATAATATCCATTAGCATGATTAACTTGCATGTTTATTGTCTTCACTTCAGTCTCCTCACCCAATGAGTCAGTACTCATTTTCTAAATTTTTTCATTACTGACACTTTTCTGTGGTTTCTAGATAGCCATTAGGTAGGGGAAAACCTAGAGAGTATAGCATCCTGGAAGCCAAGTGAAGAAATTGTTAGAAGAAATGAGGAAGGATCAACTATATTATATTTTGCTGTTTTGTCAAATAAAATAAGGACTATGAATTGACCATTGGATTTAGTAATATGGAAGTCAGTATGATCTGTGCACTAGTAAATTTTACAAGTAGTTTCAGTGGAATTACGAAGCAAAAACCTGGTTGGAGTTGATTTAAGAAAAAAAATAGGAAGAGAGGAATTACAGACAGCAAACAGCTTCTTTAAGGACTTTAATGTGGTATAAAGAAATGGGGTGATAGCTGGGGAAATTTGGCTCCAGAGAGGGTTTGCTTATTAGTTTCTGTGAGTTGAAAGAAATAGCATCATATCCTTTGTTGAGAGGACTGAACCAAAAGAAAGAAAATTGATGATGAGTAAATGGGGGCAGGTATTGGAATCAAGTATTTATGTAGGCAAGAGGTGATGGATTTTGATGCACAAATGGCTAGGAGCATAGAAAGTTTATCTAGGGCAGTGGTTCTCAACTAGAGGCGATTTTGCCCCTGAGAACATTTTATAATATCTGGAGATATTTTGGATTTTCACAGCTGGAGGTGTACATCAGGTGGGCAGGGGCAAAAGATGCTGCTAAATAGCCTGTGATTCACAGGACAGCTCCTCACAACAAAGAATTATCCAGCCTAATTATAAATGGTTTCAAAGTACAAAAACAGGAGGGAAAGGCAGAGAAAGCGAGCAAAAGGAGAATTTGCTTTGATAGGATGTTGGAAGCCTGTGGAAGTTTTTTTTTTTTTTCCCCCAGTAACTTCAAATAGCTCAATGAATTAAGCAAGATTATGAGCTGAGACCGAGGATGGGGAAGTGGTTTGGTTGTTTGAGGAAAGGCGAGAGAATATGAAATAATCATCGAGGAAAAGTGAGAGTGCACAGATTATGGAGAGGTGGTTTTATTTTCATATAGCATTAAGGACACACTTGAGGTTTAGGAACAGGATATGAATATGGGTTGTATGCCTTTCTCAGGCCATGGTCAGCTGCATGAGTGCGAGCATGCAATAGGATAAAAACAATCAGGATTTTTGTTTAGTTGTGCAACTATAATAAAACAAGAAAGGTGTGAAACAGTTGCAAGTGGATATAGGGCAGTGTTTGTAATGGTTGGCCATGAAATTTAAGTTAGTGATGGAAAGAAGAATTTAACAGAGAGTTGAAGTTCTCAGATTATGGACCCAGGGGGGGTCAAAGGGTTGTTAAAATTTTAGTACTAGAGGGCATGAGTTAGAAAGATAGCAGGTGGTGATCAGGTGGAATATTTGAAATTAAGATTTGAAAGGTACAGCAAAGACAAGAGAATGATTATGGGAGTGAGTGACTAAGATAGTTTGGAGTCAGGGATTGGAGGAGAGAACAAGAATCACAAGCCCAAGGTACTAGAAAGATGATATGGTTTGGCTGTGCATCCCCACCCAAATCTCATCTTATAGCTCCCAAAATTCCCAAGTGTTGTCGGAGGGACCTGGTGGAAGACAACTGAATCATGGTGGGGGGCAGGGGGGCAAGTCATTCCTGTGCTGTTCTCATGATAGTGAATAAGTCTCACAAGATCTAATGGTTTTAAAAAATGGGAGTTTTTCTGCCCCTGGCCCCTCCTAAATTTCATGTCTTCACATTTCAAAACCAATCATGCCTTCCTAACTGTCCCCCAGAGCCTTAACTCATTTCAGCATTAACTCAAAAGTCCACAGTCCAAAGCCTCATCTGAGACAAGGCAAGGTCCCCTCCACCTATGAGCCTGTAAAATCAATAGCAAGTTAGTTACTTCCTAGATACAATGGGGGTACAGGCTTGAGTAAATACAGCTGTTCCAAATGGGAGAAATTGGTTGAAACAAAGGCTATAGGCCCCATCCAAGTCTAAAATCCAGTGGGGCAGTCAAAATCTTAAAGTTCAAAAATGATCTCCTTTGACTCCATGTCTCACATACAGGTTATGCTGATGCAAGAGGTGGGCTCCCATGGCCTTGGGCTGCTCTGCCCCTGTGGCTTTGCAGGGTGTAGCCCTGCTTCTGGCTGTTTTCACACGCTGACATTGTCTGCAGCTTTTCCAGGCACACAGTGCAAGCTGTCAGAGGATCTACCATTCTGGGGTCTGGAGGATGGTGACCTTCTTCTCACAGCTCTACTAGGCAGTGCCTCAGTAGGGACTCTGTGTGGCAGCTCCAACCCTGCATTTCCCTTCTGCACTGCCCTGGCAGAGGTTCTCCATGAGGGCCCTGCCCCTGCAGCAAACTTCTGCCTGGGCATCTAGGCAGTTCCATATATCATCTGAAATCTACGCAGAGGTTCCAAAACCTCAATTCTTGACTTCTGTGTACCACAGGCTCAACACCACATGGAAACTGCCCAGGCTTGGGGCTTGCACCCTCTGAAGCCATGGCCCAAGCTCTACATTGGCACCTTTCAGCCACAGATGAAGCAGCTGGGATGCAGGGCACCAAGTCCCTAGGCTGCACATAGCACGGGGGCCCTTGGCTTGGCCCATAAAACCACTTTTTCTTCCTAGGCTTCAGGGCATGTGATGGGAGGGGCTTCCATGAAGACCTCGGACGTGCCCTGGTGACATTTTCCCCATTGTCTTGAGAATTAACACTCAGTTCCTCATTACTTATGCAAATTTCTGCAGCTAGCTTAAATTTCTCCTCAGAAATTGGGTTTTTCTTTTCTATCACATTGTCAGGCTGCAAATTTTTTGAACTTTTATGCTCTGCTTCCCTTATAAAACTGAATGCCTTTAACAGCACCCAAGTCACCTCTTGAATGCTTTGCTGCTTAGAAATTTCTTCTACCAGATACCCTAAATCATCTCTCAAGGTTCAAAGTTCCACAAATCTCTAGGGAAAAATGCCACCAGTCTCTTTGCTAAAACATAACAAGAGTCACCTTTGCTCTAATTCCCAACAAGTTCCTCGTCTTCCATCTGAGCCTCAGCCTTGATTTCATTTTTCATATCATTATCAGCATTTTGGTTAAAGCCATTTGGTAAGTCTCTAGGGAGTTATGAACTTTCCCACATTTTCCTGTCTTCTTCTAAGTCCTCCAAACTGTTCCAACATCTGCCTGTTACCCAGTTCCAAAGTCACTTCCACATTTTCGGGTATCTTTTCAGCAGCACCCCACTCCTGGTACCAATTTACTGTATTCGTCCATTTTCACGCTGCTGATAAAGACATACCTGAGACTGGGCAATTTACAAAAGATAAAGGTTTGTTGAACTTACAGTTTCTCATGGCTAGTAAGGCCCCACAATTGTAGCAGAAGGCAAGGAGGAGCAAGTCACATCTTATGTGGATGGCAGCAGGCAAAGAGAGAGGGCTTGTGCAGGGAAACTGCCATTTTTAAAACTATCAGATCTCATAAGACTTATTCACTATGGCAAGAGCAGCATGGGAAGGACCTACTCCCATGATTCAACTGTCTCCCACTGGGTCCCGCCCACAACACATGGGAATTATGGAAGCTACAACATAAGATTTGGGTGGGGACACAGAGCCAAACCGTATCAAAAGATCAGATAGATAGATAGATATGTATATATACACATATATATATATGTGTGTATGTGTGTGTAAAAATATCACCAAATATTAAGTGATGCTGGAGAGAGAATCAGCATGTCAAAATGTCAATTCATTCCGAAAGAAGAGTGGCTAAGGTGTCAATAGATTACTTCAACCATGAAGAATAGTGAGTTATAGAATCTGACATGTGACTGAAAAGTGGAGGAGAAAGAATGGTTGGATAGCAATAATGAGCAAGGAAACCACTTAACCCACACTTCAAACAGATGGAATGAGGGCTGTAGGATACAATATGGCTGCCCATTGAGACAGCGAGTAATCACTAGAAGAAACAATGATCTCTAGGAGGTCTCCCACTTTTATACATACACTAGCTCATAAGTGTCAACGGATTGCCTTGAAAAATAGGAGAAAAATACTGAATTTTCACACAAAATCCAGATAAATGATACATGGTTCATAAAGGATGCATGGCTCATAAATAATGCACTGGTTCATAGGTGATAAATGATAAATGATGTACTGGGTCACATGTGTCAAAGCACTGCCTTGGGAAAAAATAGGAGAAAAACTGTGGATTTTCCAATAAAATCCAAATAAATGATGCATTTTCCTTAGTGTTTAGCCACTCACATTATAAAAATAGTATATTTAACTCCTAGGATAATTTATCTAAAATTTCAACTAAATGTAATTTAATACTAAACTTCTCACTTAAGCCTAAAATGCCTTTGAAAGGCATTTTGTAAAACACATGGTAATCTAAAGATAATCTCATTAGAGAGCACTCTAATTCAAAATTCACAAGATATTTTCACCTTAAATTCTGAGCTAGTTCTTACCTTCACTGTGTACCTCCTTAGAAATTTCAGCTTTTGTTGTGGAATGAAGTGCTGAACATATAGATTTAAAATTATCCATGGGAAGTTTGTAAGCTTCAGGTTTGGGCTTCCTACATATAGTGTATAGCATGACAAAAATAGCCTTTGACTTGCCTCTTTAGTGTTTTATCACTAAAACAAATAAGACAAGGAATACTTTGAGGAAATTGTGCAACCCATCTTCAAACAATATGGTATAGTTTTATACTTCTTGGAAGTAGACAGACTTCCTGACATGAAATAATGGAACCTCTGTTTTAAAAAACAAAGGCAAAGGCATGAATTTCTGCCATTACCTTAATAATGACTACAAATCTCATAAGAGACTGCACATTTTGTACCATCACAATGTGGAATAATTCTTGAACCACTTTTTCCATATTTGGATATGTACATAGTAATCATAATTAGTGGCATCATCTCATTAGGAAGGATAACATTAAAAGCAATAATCAAATGACTTATATATGATGTATCTCATACACATAAAAGCAAACTTGGTTCCCGGTTCAGGACTGCTTAGGCTGTCTGGCATATTATCACAATGTGAATCTGCCTACTGTCCCCTATATGTTTCTGTTATGACTGACTCTACTATTACCTTTCAATGTATTACTACATGATGTAAATTTGTCCTGACCCATCTACTAAAACTTCTGTGTGTTTTGTTACTATTAGCATTCTCAAAATAATTGACTTAGAAGAGAGTTGTTAAAAGTACATTCTAAATTGGTAAGCACTATCAATGAGTATTTATAAATATGTTTTTATATCCAGTTTATCATTGCAGGAGTCTTCATAATAGCAGTAACAAAGTATCCAACTCGATCTGCAGTAAGTTGAAATGTTTGTGGTATCTCTAGAAATCATTTATCACAAAGCTAAATATTAAGTTTTAATGAAAATATAATGTCTAAATAATGAAGGAATCTACGCTACCTGTAAAATAAATAAAGAAATTAAGAATGAATCTAGAAGAACATAATTTAATGTAGACCAATACACTGTATTGGTTAAATCATGATTATGTATAGGTTTCTAAATGTATATATAGTTTTTATTTTGTTTGATGTTCTACCTTTTAACATTGTGTAAACTTTATAGTTAAAAAATTTAATAGAACCTAATGCCTTTAGATATAGACATTATACTACTGTAAAACTTCATTTTCTGAACTATCCAATTTGGGAACAAGATTGTATCTTGTAATGAAGTAGGAAATTGGTCCAGATTAAAGATCCATGCATGGTATAGGTGGATAGATACTGGGAAGAACACTTTAGAATCTGAGAGCTAAACACACCTTAGAAATTAGTCTGCCCTCATAATTTTACAGATAAAAAACTGATGTCTGAAAATATTGATAGATTTCCATAGGTAATGAAGACCCAGGATTAAAATTTTATCAACTGACTCCTATTTCCACAAGCAGTCATTTTCCATTTTCTTTTTTTTCTTACAATGGAACCACTTTTGTCCAAATCATATCTTATATGCTTTCTTCCAAATGACTTATAACATTGAAAAATACAATACTTTTTAGCCTAAATGGAAGATTAATGATTAATGGACTGATGGTGTTAATGTTTCCTCCAGATTAACTGGGCTTTATATAAATTAGAAAAATGTTTTCTTAAGACTTAATACTTCTAAGACCTCAGAAACTACATCAAAGTTTTAACTAGATGACTTTTTTCAGCAATGCAAACTATTACACCAAAATGTTTATTCTGAATATAATAAATTTACCTTCTGTCTCCTTTTCAGATTATATGTACTTTAATCATAAACATCTTCTGCATAATAACTACAATTACTGCAGTAACTCTAACAATAATAGAGTTGTCTCATTTCAATTCTCTGTCATACAGGAATTATGGACAAGCAGTAAGTGACCAATTCTATGGGAACATATTAATTTTAAAATTATTCTTTTTAATAATTTTGAAATCTTAGGAGGTAAGATGAGGCTTTTATTGGTCCTCATGAAATTCTTTGATTTAGCAGTGAGTTCTTGATTGAAATTTTTAAATCAAAAATAATTCTAGGCTGTGAGTTTTAGTAAATATTAAGAGAATGTTTGAATTCTTGATTTGCTGAATTAAAGTGAGTAAAAAATTTGAAAACTTCAGTGGCAAGTGTCTATGTATCAGGCACAGAGTCACTTAATGATTCTCTTAATACAAGAAAAGTATAATCTGGGACCATAGAACCATTTTGCAAAAAAAACAAAAGAATTCTGCTACTGACACATACAGTTCAAATTTTAGACATCTAGCAATTTCTGGCTTAACATAGAGCTTTCATACATAGCCTGTCTTTGCATCTTACATGAATTTTGCTTTAAGGCCAAAAATGCTAAATATAAATAAATGTAACTTGTTTCCATTTAGTTCTCCAGTAACTGTGAAGATCTTTACTGATAACACAATAGGTTTATTTTAATTATATTGGCTTTAAATTCAGAATCATAGAATATTAGTGCAGCAAAAGACCTTAGCAAAGCTAACAAAATCTCACATTTAAAATAAGGACAAATTGGAGTGAAACACCTTGTTTGACCAACAGAACAAAACAAATAACAATTTCAGTAATGAGTAGAAGCGTCCTTGCAAGTGAAGGATAAACTTCCTCCTCCTCCCCTACATACTTTCTCTCCATACCTGTGACATGTTATTAAGGGGGACGTCAGAGGAAAGAACCCAAACCTGGAGAACAAAACTCTGGAGGATAGTGAGATAATAAGAGAAAAATGCAGTAATTCTCCAAAATATATTATCTGTAATGAGTGATTATGTAAACAAACATGGACCAGATTTTCCCTATAAATTGTAAGAAAATTGTCCAGTTGCCCTAAACATTCAATCTACAAATCTTTAGTTCTAATTTTGAGGACAGAGAATAAGGAAGGAGTACTTAAGTTATTAAGTACATAATTGTTTCAAGTTATATGTCACTATTTTTATTCATAAACTTTTAATTATCAGTTTAACATGGCATAATTGCCAAGGATTGCCTTTTGCAGTCAGTGTGAGAAACCATTGTAGTCTGTATTTATCTGATCTGGACTCAGTAATAACGACCAGTTTTACAGTCTCTCAAAATCACAAGTTTTAGCACAAGTTTGCTGTGATTAGTTACACAAAATGAACTTGTATATTAGACTTATATCTCGAAACCACTATCTTTTTCTAGGGCCATTATAGAATTATGTACTTACACTTGCTAAGGCAGCCAACATTTTACAGGACTTTTACATGCCAACTTTTCTAACATAAGCAAGGGTCTTGGCTAAATCTACAAACTCATCAAGTTATCAGTGTTCCCAGGCAGTGTCAGAAAAGTGCATGAATCTGAAATACACTCCTCATGTAGCAAAATGGTTAATACTATAGATTCCAGAATCAGAGTGCACTTATTTAAATACTATCCTCAGTACTCACTGTGTGTAAACCCATGGAAAAGTTTCTTAACTTACCTGTTTCTAAGTTTTCTTTTGTGTAAAATGAAGAAAATGCCTGCCAGTTAACTGCTGTGTTCTTTCTTCCAAACTCCTGGCCTGTTGTTTTAAAAGCTAGCTTGACTTTTCTACTTGGCTATGCTGCTATCACTGTCATATCAAACTCAACAGATAGAAAATGGAAATTACTTACCTCCTCAAAGGTATACACTGCAAGACTCCCTCATTTCAATCTCCTACACACAAAACCTTGACATAATACCTCATCTGTCTTTCTACTGTCTTTATAATTACCAAATATTGCTTATTCTTCATTTAAGTATATATTAATTAGGGTTATCTTGGTTTTAAGTAACAGGAAATACAATCCAACTTGATTTAAGGCAAAAAGGGTCACTTACTGACTTAAGCTGGGTCCAGAAGCTTACAGTTTACATCATCTGCCAGGGACTCATGACTCATTCATTCTCTTTCTCTCTCTCTCTCTGTGTCTGTGTGTGTGTGTGTGTGTGTGTGTGTATGTGTGTGTGTGTGTTTCCTAGGTTGTTTTCACATTTGAGCTGATCTGGCTGACCTTTTGCTGCTTTCAGTCAGGGAGGGAGTTTTAGAATAGAACTCTCATATAAATTAAGGAATATGGGCCGGGCGAGGTGGCTCACGCCTGTAATCCCAGCACTTTGGAAGGCCAAGGCAGGCGGATCACTTCAGATCAGATGTTTGAAACCAGCCTGGACAACAAGGCAAAACCCCGTTTCTACTAAAAATACAAAAGTTAGCTGGGCATGGCGGAGGGCGCCTGTAATCCCAGCTACTGAGGAGGCTGAGGCACGAGAATCGCTTGAACCCGGGAGGCAGAGGTTGCAGTGAGCTGAGATTGTGCCACTGCACTCCAGCCTGGGTGATAGAGCAATACTCAGTCTCAAAAAAAATTAAATAAAAAAATAAGGAATATGGGCAAAATGACTTTTCACAGTCTTGTCAGCTAAGAAGTCCCAAGTACTTTCTAGATAAAATGTTATGATTATGTTTGTGGATTTCTGCCAACAAAATTAAATCAAAATTATTTACCTTGGTATTTCCAACCTTCTACATCTTTTCCTTGTCTTCCTATTTATACCATATATGAATGAACACTATAATTCTCAAAACGTTATATTGCTTACATTCAGTTTTGTTCTCACATTAAAAACCATAGGTTGTTCTGATATATATTTTAACTTTACTATTGGTTCTATTTTATGTCTGAATTTTTTAATTATTCTGTCACATTTTTAATTTATGCTATTAAACTCTTTCTGAAACAAGATAGGTTACGAGGACACAAGCAAATAAAAATTTAAAGTTGCCTAGAATGCTGCTTCCTCTCTTTGTTTTTCTCAGTCCTACCTTTATTTCAAAGTTCCTACCACTTTATGAAGCCTTGCCAGAGAGTAATAGCTTGGAGTGAACCTCCTGTCCTTCCTGTCCCCTATAATGAGTGAGCAAGTTTTTATCCATTTTATATGGTACCTTATATTATCTTTCTGTCTCTTCTACTTCATTATAAACTCTAAGAAATCAGGAAGTTTTTATGTGTCATTGCATTCCTATCATCTAATTCCTACTACCAGATAGTTTGTTGAATATAAAAGATGTTAAATAAACCCAACAAAGAAGGAGGAGGAAGAGTTAGAGAAGGAATTGAAGGGGAGATAATTATGATGTCATTCTTTCTAGATCTGAGTATCATTCTTGTCTTTCCACAGTCAGCACAAAACCCACATTTTCAGGATGAGCACCAATATTATTCACATAACTAACCAATCAGATTTGTGGTTGAAAATACCTTTCTGATAGCAACAGAAGGGAATCTGTTTATCCCAGATTGATCCCAGCAGTCACAATCACCTTATGCTTCCAAGTTAAATGTTCTTTGAACTCTTTTTGAATGTATTACTCATTTTAAATGATATTAGAGCAATATGTATGTGAGAGTTTTATCACCATGTATGTAAATTTACAAAGGGTTGTCATTAATAATAGCTGTTTTAATAGAAAATGATTGCTTGATAAATCTGTTGGTGGCCATCTTATCATTAGAGACAGAAGAGTCAAATCTTAGTAACTGAAGAGTTTAGATAGAGAGCTGTGCCAGCGATTCTGTAAAAGCTGTCAGAGTGAGACAAGAATGCTAAGCAATGGAGATCAAATACAGAAACCACAGATGCTGAACTGAGGAACCGAAAGCTAGGGAAAGTGTAGCAGAGGGCAAAGGAGTAGAAATGTCTAAGGAACTCAAATGGTGAAAGGTTTATCTGTTCTTATTTTCCTTCCTTTTTTTTTTTTTTTTTTTTTTTTTTTTTTGACTCTCATACCAGTAGCTCCTTCCATGATCATGTTTGCACTCACTAAAGATAATAACATAAGATTTCTCCCTGTTTTTTGGCTATAGAAACTTGGGAGGGAAGTATCACGTATTTTACTGTTCTTCTACCCTTTGGAATTTTCTGTTGCACTTATATACTCAGTATGTAGCTGTTCCAATTTGGTAAGTGTTTACTCACTCTCTGGCAAATCAAAAGATGTTGATTTCTAGTAACTACACTCTATGAGGAGATGAATACAAATACAAATGAGGAGATGATGCAAAATATTTAGAACTAATATGAACGGAATGTGTGATAGTGCCTTTATTTTTTATTATTATCTTATAAATAGAAAACATAAAATTATAAAAGTAATACATAAGGCTAAATTTAAAAGTAAAAAGCGTATAGCGTAAAAAGTGATTGTTTCCTTAATATAGTTCTCATGATATCCACACATCCAATTCATACAAAAAAAGACCAATACACACACATTTTCTTTTTTACTAATTGTATGTATTATATTCACATTGTTTTGTCATATGCATTTTTTGCAATGATTAGAAATATCTTTCCATTACAAAACATATCTAAATAATGTCTTTTATTACCTTCATTGTTTTTCTTAGTATTCAACATTCCCTAATTACTGCATATGTAGCTTGGTTTCCAGTTTTTTCTAAATTATAAACAATGATGCAGTGAACACTTGAGTATAAATATTTTTGCATACAAGACCACTATTTCTTTAGGTGGTTGATTCCTAGAAATGTAATTGCAGAATCAAGTGTAACAACATCCAAAAATGCTATAACAACTCACAAAAGTTTATGAGAATGATTATTTTCTCACAAGCTTAAAAGACTACATATCTAACATTCATTCATTCTTTCTCAAATATTTATGGAGAGCATGCTATTTGCTAAGCATTGTCATAGGCACTAAGGATGCAATGATCAACAAAACAATGTCCTTTCCATTAGGGAGTTTGCATTCCATTGGGGGAGAAAGGCAATAAACAAACACATAAAAATATAAAATGTCAAGAACTGAAAAATGTTATGAAGTAAAATAAAGCAAAGTAAGGAGATAAGGCAAGACTATTTTATGTAGGATGGTCAAGGAAAACTACTGTAATCAACAACTGATTGAAATATAGAAACAACTATAAGACTATATGGTAAAAGGATTTATGAAGAGAGAGAATGAGTTGCATTTCCAGAATGGCTGACTGGGGACATGGTAACTCTCCCTAAAAATGAAATTATAAAACTGAACAAAATTATCAATAAACAACCTTCTAAACAGTCAGGAAGTTGATCAAGCATACGAGAACTTGCAAAGTGTTTATTTAAGAAAATCTAGACCTCAATAAGAACAGTGGATGTCTGTAGCATGTTAGTTTGGGACTGTTCCCACTCTTCCCACCTGATATGGTTAGGCTTTGTGTCCCCACCCAAATCTCATCTTGAATTGTAATCCTCAGGTGTTGAGGGAGGAACCTAGTGGGAGGAAATTAGATCATGAAGGCAGTTTTCCCCATGCTATTCTCATGATAGTGAGTGAGTTCTCATGAGATCTGATAGTTTTATGAGTGTTTAGCTAGTTCCTCATTCACTCACTCTTCTTTCTCCTGCTGCCATGTGAAAAAGGTCCTTGCCTTCCCTTTGCCTTATGCCATGATTGTAGGTTTCCTGAGGCCTCCCCAGCCATATGGAACTGTGGGTCAATTAAACCTCTTTCCTTTATAAATTACCCAGTCTTGACAAGTTTGTTATAACAGTGTGAAAACAGACTAATATACCACCCCACCCTCAGATTCCATTACGCAGAAGTTTACCTTGGTGAGTCAGACTGTGAGACCCAGCAGCCTCACTGCTTGAGAGGACTAGTTTTATTTGGAACAGAGTTCAGAAAGTTCCATTACCAAGAGGGTTATTAAAACAACCATAATCCCAGTGGCAAACAAGCAGGTAAGGCCAATGTCATTCCTAGCCTGACCATGATCACAATACTTGTTGGGGCAAAAAATTTACTAGCAACCTACCAGAAACTCAACAGAGAAATCTGAAGAACAGGACAGCCACAGTGAACCTTGATAACTTCCTACTTTTCCCCTGTAGTCTGGAAGAATATAAATATGTGCAAAGCTATATACATACTAAGGAGACTGGAGAAGGTCGTAGTGAGCCCTTGGTTGAACAAGAGGCCTTGCAAAAATAAAGTAAAAGCTGGGGCAGCCTCAACTTTGAATATACTGCTCAAGCTACACTGATTCATTAGGAAAGGGTAGAAGTTTTACTGGCTCAAGGTGTCTAATACTTTCCTAGAGCTTCTATAACAAAGCACCACAAACTGTGGCTTAAACAACAAATTTATTTTCTTACAATTCTAGAGGCTAGAAGTTCAAGATCAAGGTGTTGGCAGGGTTAGTTTCTTCTGAGGCCTCTCTCCTTGGCTTTCACTTGGCTGTCTTCTTCCTGTGTCTTCACATGGTCTTTTCTCTTTATGTGTCTGTGTCCTAGTCTCTTCTAAGCATACCAGTCATATTGCATTAGGGCTTATTCTAATTACATTATTATAACTTCATTGCCACTTAAAAGACCCTATCTCCAAATACAGTCATATTGCAAGGTATTGGGAGTTAGGACTTCCAGTATTCCAAGATACTGGTGGTTAGCAATAACCACTGCTCCTGGGAAATAAGGCAATCAGAATCTAAAATTGCTATGATATATTATCTAAAATGTCCAGTTTTCAACAACAAAAATATGAAAATAATAGGAAATAGTTAACCATAGAGTTCAAAACAACACTTAACAGACATAGTGTCTTGGAGCAAGGGAAGGATAAATGTTGGACTTAACAAAGAAAGGCTTCAAAAATTAGTAAATATGTTTGAAGAATTATAAGATGGCAACAATGATTCATCAAATAAAAGTCAATTAAAGAGACAGAAATTATAAAAAACCCAATGGAGGTTCTAGAGTTTAAAAATACAAGAACTGCAATGAAAAACCCAAAACCCACTAGAGGAACTCAAGAGCAGAGGTGAGCTGACAAAAGACAAAATAAACAGACATAAAGATAGCAAAAAAGATATTGCCCAGTCCAAAGAACAGGAAAAAAAAGAAAATGAAGAAAACTGAACAGAACCTCAAAATCCTCGGAGATACCATCACATGTATAATGGGAGTCCCATAAAAATGGGGAGTACCAGAAACAAATTAAAGAAATAATGGCCCCAAATTCCCCTCATTTCATGGAAAATATTCAATACATCCAAAAAGCTCAAGGATCTTCAAGTAAAATAAACACAAAGAGATCCACTCCTAGACACCTCCATGTCAAACTGATAAAAAGGAAAATCTTGAAAGCAGTGGGAAAAAAAAAGACTCTTCATATACAAGGGAACCACAATAATATTAAGAGCTGGGCTCTCATCCAAAACAATGGGTGGGATATTAAAGTACATGGGGAAAAACAGGCAGGAATTCTTTATCCTTTAAAACTATCCCTCAAAAATGAAGGTGAAATAGAGACATACACAGATGAATAATGTGTTGCTAGCAGAAATTCCTCATGAGAAACACTGAAGGAACTTCTTTAGACTGAAAAGAAGTGACATCAGATGAAACTCGAATGCACATAAATAAATAAAAAAGTATCAGTAAAAGTAATTACGTAGGTGGTTATGAAATGTGCTTTCTTCTGTTTACTGATTTAAAAGACAGTTGCATTAATCTCATTGGGCTCACCCAGGTAATCCAGGATGATTACCTTAATTTAAGGTCGTGTTATTAGTAACATTAATTCCATCTGTCATAACTACTCAGTTCCACTTTTTAGCATGAAAGTATTCATAGACAATACATAAAGGAATGGATATGGCTTGTTCCAGCAAAACTTTATTTACAAAAAAGGGCAGTGGGCTAGATTTGGTCCATGTATCATAGCTTGCCAACCCTTCTTCAATAGATAGTTTCTCCATTTTTATCTTAAATTTTAAAAGATAAGATCATAAAAGCAGTAATTATAACACCATATTGGTAGTTATATAATATATATAGATAGAATATATGACAATAATAGCTCAAAGAAAAGGAAAGGGAATGAGTTATATGGGAATAAAGTTGCTGTATTTTACTGGAATTGAATTAGCATTCATCTGAAGTAGACTGTGATAAATTAGGGTGCCTATTTAGTGATTAAGAAAGCTAAAAATATAACAGCTTAAAAATAAGGGAATTAACATATACAAAGTATGTTTAATTTTTTAAAAATAAAGAACACAATGGCCAGGCTTGGTTGGTTAACAGCCATATTCCCAGCATTTTGGGAGGCCAACTCAGGAGGACCATTTGAGCCTAGGAGTTTAAGACTAGCCTGGGCAACATGACGAGACCTCGTCTCTACAAAAAAAATAAAAATAAAAACATTGGCCAAGCATGGTGCTACATGCCTGTGGTCCCAGCTACTTGAGCGGCTGAGGTGGAAGGATCATTTGAACCCAGGAGGTCAAGGCTGCCATGAACCGTATTCATGTCACTGTACCCCAGCCTGGGTGACAGAGCAAAACCCTATCTCACAAAAAAAAAAAAAGGAAAATAAGACACATGAGACACATATAAAACAAATAACAAAATGTCAGATATAAATCTATTCATTGTAATAACAACATTAAAATGACAATGAGATGTTTTAAAATACCTACTGAAATGAATGAATTTCAAAATATTGATGACGCCAACAGATAACAAAGATTATGGATAAAAGAAATATCTCTCACACTCCTGGTTGAAATATAAGTTATTGCAACAATTTTTAAAACCTTTTGGGCATTACCTACTAAAAATTAAACTGTGCATACCCTATGATCAGTAATCTCAGTCTTTGGTATATAACCAACAGAAAGAAACATTTGCCCTTATGCATTCAGATAAACTTCTAGGAATATATAGAGAGCAGTATTATTCACAGTGGCCCCAAAGTGGAAACAACACAGGTGGGTGACTGGTGAATAAGTTGAGGTGTATTACTTTATTGAAATTTGACATGCTGATTAAAAGGAACTATACCTGCACTTAACAACATGGATACATCTCACAAATACAATGTTGAGTATAAAAACTCAAAAGAATGCATAGTTTTAAAAACTCCATTCATATGAACTTTGAAACCA